AATAACAGAAATGCACAATAATACACTCAACTCCCTAGTCAACTATTACAGGTCGTCTAGTATTTCTGTTTTCACAGGTGGGGAAATATGCAACACGTGCACCAAATACTGGATCAAAAACGAGGTAATGGGGACGTTTATAGTCAGTTAAACTTAGAAGTGGATTTATTCCCATTATGCATGCACTGCATTGTGGGATAACGCTGTCCATTTGCTCAGAAATACAGCACATGTAATATGCAGATTCACACACGTGAGAGGTATGAAAGCTTGCATTTGAAACATTGGAGAAGCCATCAACAGTGAGCTAGATGTCTTTAAATTGTGCAACTCTTTTCCATGAAAGAGGCTAGCAGCAATAGCTCCGAAAGTCCAAATGTAATTATTGAATGGCTTTAACGCTTATAATGTTGTGACGAAGGTAACTTCGAAATTTCAACTTCAGTAGCACGTACATACACCAAACCTTCCAGTTATATTCCCATCAATATTATGAAGGCTTTTACAGAAGGGTTTGTTCATATATAATTCATAGCCTGAATTATACAACATTGTATACCTAAAAACATGGCGAAAATGGATATTTTAGGGCTGTTGACAGTATTTTCTGATTTATGGAGTGATAAAAAGAGATATCCAATATCCGTTCTGTGAAAGCCTTAGATACTAATATGACTACAAAATGAAACAAGAATTTTGAATCTGGCTATATCCAAAGTTCAGATTTCGATTCCTGAAATGTGTTAAAAAAATATGTGCATATTTAATGAGATAATGGATAATTTGCATATTTAAACATGCTATTTCAGAAAACTTGTAATACAAAAGACAATTGCCTTATTGTAAGTAATTAACTGGAGAAATTTCTAGCTGATACCTTTAAGTTAAAAAAATTACCCTATTCACCTGGGGTGTCTCGCCTTAAGTCATATTATTATTATTATAAAATATCGCATTACTTTGTTTTTTTTCCACAGTGTGTTAAATCGATTGCTGTCGGGATGTAAAGATTTATTTGAATGAATATACAAATGATTTGAAAAGACATTCCTGACTAGCTTTTATGTTGTCCCTTTACTTGTGGTTATTTGATCTAGCTGTTCACGCTTCACATGTGTTTTCAAGTTTATTTCCGTTGTGAGTCTCAGTTTCCTGTTCCTGCTCCATAGAGGTGAGGAGGGGGAGGGGGGGGGGGGGGTCTTCATGCTACAGATCAAATATTTTAGACAAAAGCTTCCAGCCTGCAGCATGTTGTGTTTGGCTCTTTGCTGTTTCTAACATAACAATGCAAAAAGACCAAGCCAGTTTGTCCACACCAAAAATTTAAAAAACCAAGCCCCCAAGTGCGCCGGACTCTGAGGAAAATATTCGTTGTGTCCGAAAAGCATCACTACAACTTCCGTATCAGTCCGTGACATCACTGGGCCCAGAAAGACTTTTCCCATTGACTAACATGGAGAAAGAGACGTCTGTAAATCAGAGGATACTTTTTTAACTAAATAAACTACCCAGTAAGAACTATCTTTTAGCCCTTATTAGAATCATTCGGTCCTTAAAGTTGTAAAATGCACTAAAAGCCGAATCTAGATTTAATTTCTCTCTCCATTCATTCTACTGAGCCGAGAGTGGGAGCTCGGGGGGCGGGGCTTAAGGGGCGCATGCTCTGTGAGCTACATAAGGGCACTTCTGCTCTGACAGCCAGGCATGATGGGTAATCTGTGACGTTTCGCTCTCTCAAAAGTTGGGCCATCTTGACCTCATGCGCCAATAGAGAGGCGAAGTCCCTCCCTTTCCTCCATGGGACCTTATTTCAGAAAAATTATGTATTGAAGTCAATGGAGAATTGTGCCACGAATTACACACATGATGTTTGTCAATTTAAAAGATCATTTTTCAAGTATAAAAAAAATGTGTCGTAAAACTGTGAAGTAACACTTTGTTGGTGTGAAACGCTCAATGAGCTACATCTCCCGTCTCGCACTACACACCCAGACGGCCGTCACGTTGAAACACTTCACTTCTTTCTCTCAGAATGAGGCGGAAAGTATTAAAAGAGGTGGAAATCACTCCAAGTCTGGGCGTGTTGAGAGCTGCAAATACACACAAGGGGAGTGAGTCGGTTCCATGAGAGCCAGCATGCGGGACCGGCTTTACAAGGTTTCTGTGAGTAACACGAGTGTAATGTGTAACGTTAATGACATCACTTACTATGGGATTTGTAGTCTTTCTAGTGGCGTATTTTTCATAGTCTTATATTTCAACAGTTTTATGACAAACTGTGACTTTTTGGAAATTATCTTTTAAATTGACAAACATCATATGTGTAATTCGTGGCACAATTCAAACGGGATCGAAATATAAGTGTTCTCTCTCCATTGACTTCAATACATACTTTTTCCGGAATAAGGTCCCATGGAGCGGAAGTAGAAGGGCGGGACTTCGCCTCTCTATGAGCAGCTCTCATAGGAAAGAACGAGACCCCGCCTCCCACGCTGTATCCAGTTCTTATTAAACATCCATGGGGAAAACCTTCAGTAAATACTCTACATTTCTCTACTTCCTGTTTATTTCCCACAGCCCTGAAAGCTGCAGGCATTAAGCCACTGTTAAACAATCTGAACGTGGAAATTATCAACCAAAACAAGCTAATTTTAAACCTCCACATCTTAAGTTAACTAAATGAACCACCAGACTCAGAGACAGTTTCATCCCACAGGCCATGAGACTTAAACCCCTGCACGTTTGAAACAACATCCACAACATTCATCTGACTGCTACTTAGAAATTATTTATGTATACAGTGGCGTTTTCTCCGGGAGGCCAAGGGAAGCCAGGCTTCCCCTGTTTTTTTGGATTGTAGTTATAATTTAAATAAATAAATAAAAACACTTTGTTTTGTTTCGATAATTCTCCTTTGCTGTGTGTTGCTGCCGGCCCGTCTCTCCCCCATTCTCATTGAGTATTTTACAAAGAGTGAAACAGCGCCCCTCTAGATGTTATGGTGAAACAGTAGATTGCACTCACTGTTGCGAGAGGAGGCCAGCCGAATCTGGCTTCCCTTGGTGAAAAAAAATGGAGGGATTGACCAATCAGATGAGGCTCACGTGATGCCCCTGCCAACCTGTGATTGGTCAGGGTCATGCCAAGGGAAGCCAGAGGCGGCTGGCTTCCCTTGCCTCACATTCCAATCAAATCGCATAGTGTTGCAGTGACGCATCCTAAAATCCGGAAGTAAGCTGCTCTCGGTTTCCCTTGACAAAAAAGCAGTGGGATTTCTCCATAGGATTTAGCAAAATAGCTCGAAATAAGGTCAGTGGAAAACGAACCTGTTTGATAAATGCACGTTTTGTTCAGTCGGATAATATCCACATGTCTACCCTACTTTTATAATGTTCGAATCATAAATCTAATCGATAGAAGATAGATAGCGTCACTGCACCACTCTCACCGCCGTTAGAAAGTAGCAAGCAACTGAAGCAAGTGCAATTATGGAGGGTGGAGATTTGGAGTATTTCATCAAAAATAATTGTACTAAACTTCCGCTACAGCAGCAACAACAAATACAATCTGATGACAGGCCAATGCCCAAACTGGAGCTGTGTACAGCGAGGAACAAAGGAGCGAATCGGACGTAAAACGTTAAAGGTCTCCTGATTTAGCTTGTGAATGAATGCTTATTAGAGTTTCGGCTGGAGAGTGCGTGCGGACCTGTCGGTTAGATAACAGGCGTGTGTAAGTCCTGCATCTGTATGATACAAATGTGTGTAAAATGATACCAGGTGCTGTAATCACTCATCTGGTTACGTTATTACATTGACCACCACACCCCCGAACCAAAAGAAAGGACGTATTATTGGCTTCACCTAATTTTTTCCCCACGCCACGCTACTGGTAATATATCATATTCCAATTACTTGTATGACTCTTATTGCACTATTTCACTATTCTTCTGTTTTAATTACTTGCACAATTGTTTCTATTTTTATTGTGTTGCCTGTGACCTAAGATTTTCATTGACATATCTACACTGTAGCTATGTAAGAATGACGCCTCATCACTAAGACTGCTACCCTGTTGTTCAAATGTTACAAAGTGAGCATGCAAGCGCAATACCAGATCAATCAAAGCAGCTCAATGGAAGTCAAATGGATTGCATGATGGGCTTTTTCCTATTGAGGGAAAGTGTGTGGTGTGAGAAAGGCCTGAGGAAGGATACATCCAGCATGGTGATCATCAGTCTGCACGTCTCCAGGGAGAAGGCTGCAGAAAGAAAAGTCAGAACTCAGAATGTAAAAATATGATCCAAAATGCAGTGGGAAAGTGCATCGATGCCAACACTGAGACAATGTAAAAGGGTTAGCTTAGTAGGCAGCGAGAACTTTGATAAGATCACTTTTCAAACATGATATCTCTCCATAAGGATCATTTCAAAGATAAAGAGATTGTATATTTAGGTATAAAAGAAAAAGAAACGCATTCATTAAATTTAACTCTGCCTTTAAAATATTAGTCTTAATTGAAAGAAAACACACTATGCCATTAAAGTGCAATTGTCTGACAACAGAAACATATATTAATGTCAGTGACAGATGTCGGCTCTGTTGTGATTGGTCAACCGCTTAGAGATGTCCCGCCCCTTAGCCTATCAGGTGCAATGTGTTGAAGCGCCAGCCAATAGGAGCGCGAGTGTTCCAAACTGAATGTTTTATAATGCTCATGCCTTCAAACCTTTTATTAATTGAATTTACAGATCGTTGTAAAAACCATAGCCACGATATTCTATTATATAAAACATGATAAGATTTTCAGCCACAAAGAAGAGCCCTAACGTTCAGGAAGGTGGATTCGTCTTTTATGTTAATATAGTGTTCTTAAAATAGTTCTCTGTGTTTTTAATTCTTGTTTTACTTTCATGTACGCGCCACGCATACTTGTCAACCCTCCCGATTTTCGCGGGAGACTCCCGATTTCATTGCCCTCTCCCGGTTTCCTCCCGGGGTCATATTTCTACCGCATTTCTACCGATTTCTGACAAAATCAGATTTACTGAGGACTGTTTCCACTCAGACTTTAATACAGCTACACCATTGTTTGGTTTCCATGGTAGCTTTCTCTTTAGTAGCGCGCAACTGAAAGTCTGAGAGGGTGAGGAAGATAGTCACAGAAAACAGAACAAGAATCGACAACTCGACAATCTGCTCACTCCTTTCCATATGCTCCGTCAAGGATGGTGCTACAGGCCGTAAGGCAGTGCACTTACAACTACAATAAGCATGTTAATGTTAATCTAACAGCTCTGGCGATTCACTAGCATCCCCCCCCCCCCCCCCCCCACGGTGGTTTTGAAATGCTCCCGATTTCTGAGGTCTCAAGGTTGGCACCAAGTCAAATTCTTCGTACGTGTCAACCTACCTGCTGATAAACCTGTTTCTGATTGATGCCTTCAATGCCACATGTGGGCAACTGTAAACAAGCATTATGATGAAATGTCCCGCATGGATATAATCATTATTAAAGAATAGATGTTCTTACGTTTGTAGGAGCCAGCGATGCCGGACTGTGTGAGGCAGCGCTGCAGCTCGTCTGCTGAGATCTGTCCATCCTGTCGCAGATTCATAAGGAAAAGAAATACAGTGAATAACAATCCACAGAGATAAGAGAAACAACAATGATTGCTATGATACCAATGATGTTCAGAGGCACTGTGGGGGGGGGGGGTTACCTGTCCAGCTACAGCTGTGAAGTATCCGTAGATTGGATCCTGCTGCAGAGACGAAGACACAGAGAGAAGAAAGTGTTGGGGATCAGGAAGCACTTCATTGGTTTCTTATTATCTCATTAGAAGTGGACACCCCTGAAGGCACATTATAGCATACAGACCTCCATGTTTCTCTCCTTTTAAGCTGAATAAAGTCTTTGAAAAGCGTCTTGAATCAGCTGGAACAAGCATCGTCACACAGAGGAATAAACGGGGCAGTTTTTCTTTCAAAGAAAAGTTTGAAAATGACATGAATTGTTTCTGGGTTTACGTGAACAGCATATTGGGGAATACGTTAATAATGTCCAAAAAGGAATGTTTATACTTGTAGAGTTTGGTATTAGTGCTTTTACTGAAGAAAGGGATCTTGTTCCACGGGGGGTTAACGAGAAACTTTTCGAGACTCACAATGCCTCAAAGAAAGAGTGCTTGAACATCTGACTGTTGAATAAAGCAACTTTAAATGAGGAAACAACGTGCAGGAAGTTCATCGTTCTTCTGTAATCATGATTTTAAATCTTTCCTGTTGACTCATTTGCCAGTTTGTGCAGCCTTATATGTATATGTATATTATATATATAACCATATTCAATGATTTCATATTTACTGCTTATCCTTTGAATAATGTTAATAATCTCGAGGTTTAGACATAGTAAAACTTAGACTTCAGTAAAAGTACTCAGATCTTGTGCTTGAGTAAAAGTAGAAGTACTCAGATCTTGTACTTGAGTAAAAGTAGAAGTACTCAGGTCTTGTGCTTGAGTAAAAGTAGAAGTACTCAGATCTTGTACTTGAGTAAAAGTAGAAGTACTCAGATCTTGTGCTTGAGTAAAAGTAGAAGTACTCAGGTCTTGTACTTGAGTAAAAGTAGAAGTACTCAGGTCTTGTACTTGAGTAAAAGTAGAAGTACTCAGATCTTGTACTTGAGTAAAAGTAGAAGTACTCAGGTCTTGTACTTGAGTAAAAGTAGAAGTACTCAGGTCTTGTACTTGAGTAAAAGTAGAAGTACTCAGGTCTTGTACTTGAGTAAAAGTAGAAGTACTCAGATCTTGTACTTGAGTAAAAGTAGAAGTACTCAGATCTTGTACTTGAGTAAAAGTAAAATAAAATAATACATATTAATTTTAATAATAGGAATTTTATTTTTGATTGCATGACTTTTAGTGATAAAGGAGCAATTTTTAAAATATGGAAGCAATTAAAGAGCACTTAATGTAGTATTTTAATATCCTTGTAGTATATATAAAATAATAATAATAATAATAATATAAATGTAAACAAATATTTTATTGCATGACTTTTAGTAGTATTTCTTCCACCATTGCGAACATGTGGAAGCAATTAAAAAAACGCCTTTTATTTTAAGTGTAGGCTACTCAACAGCATATTCTATATACACTATATATATATATATGTATGCACTTTCCCCCCACCGTTAACTGATACCAGGTATAACCTTTAAACAGGTGGAGCATCATCAACAGATTTAATGTCAGATAAACCGGTATAATCAGTCAACTCGAGCCACTTCCGGGCTGTCCCGGACAGCGGGCACATATTCTGCTTTAATCCCGATAACACATCACATTGTAACGCTTTCTCACCGCCATGCCTCCGGGGGCTGCTCCGTATCCTTGGAAAACAGATAACAGGAAAAAACAGTGAGAAAATGCTCGGTTTCTCATCCTTCACTTCAGAGGGTGTGTCTGCAGAAACACACACACCAAAAACTGAGAGTATTTCAGAAGAGCCTGGAGCATTAAAAGCGTGGTTTTAAGCAAATATATGGCGTAAACCGATAAGTAATCCAACCGGGCGAAGTGCAACCTTATATATACAGTCTATGGGCGCGACAGAAAGAATGTGAAGATGTTTGGTGATTAAATGTCCTCACCGCTGGAAGCCGATTGGCTGTGGATGACCATGTGACCTCTGGACGACCAATCAGAGCACAGTGCTGGCTCCAAAAGCGTTTTACAACAATGAAAACACTGATCACCAGTATGCAGACACAATAGGCTATTCAGATACTTTAGTTCAATACAAGTACTATTGCCACATTGGACTTTGATTAAAGGAGATGTCTTATATTACAAATGTTAGATCTGTAAAGTATGTGTTGACAGTTCTGCTGTGTAAGTGGCCGTGTCATACCTGACCTTTGCTTCACCTACCTCTAGGTGCATTCACACCTAATAGTCCGGTCTCTGGTGCGCACCAGGGGCCTCATTTATAAAGGGATATACGCTCAAAAAATGGCGTACGCCAGTTTCTACGCAATGTTTGCGATTTATAAAATACTAACTTGATGGGAAAACGTGCGGTCCTCCACGCAAACTCTAACCCATGCGTACGCACTAAGCACAACAACGGGAGAGACGAGAAACTGCGACACCGTTGGCAGAAGGAAGAATGGAGAGAAATATGTGGAAATAATACCATAAACAAAATGTTACCTCTCATTTATCATATATGAAGAATTCATTTTCAAACATTGATTAAAGCCAATCTTAAAATGATTAAACAAACGCCTGCTTGAGACTCCTCAGTGCACACAAAAACATAACTTGGAGAAATAAATAAATACGGATATGTTATTGAAAACACCTCGAATATGTTGTGTTTTCTCATAAATGTTGCGGTTTTGCATTTCTATAGGTTGTACGAGCATGGTTTTATATACTACCATGTTTAATCATGTTTTATGCCGTTTGCTAAGACTTGATAAGTCGCTCATAAAACACAGGAGGTATGGAAACTAAGAACACCATATGTGATAAATTGTACAGTGTGGTGACCACTGTATAACATAACATAATTCACTCATGGAACTACAGTTAAGGGTATTGTTTCCGCACGGACATATGTGTTGCTTACTGTATATATTGTGTGCCCTCCTTGCTTTTCTTCCTCTCTTCTTCCCGGACTGCAACCGGACAACATGACCTTTGCTGCTCCTAAATAAAGTACCCTTTTGCACCTTCGATGCACCGCCTCCGACTCCTATCTCTCGGCACTACACTGGTGACCCTGACTTAAGTCTCGCTGAAGTTTCCGAGATTGGACTGAACATGGCTATTAACGCCGTTTGTCGCAAACTGCTGGAGAATTTTGGAGACGTCCGTGGCTGCCAGGGGCACACGGACTGAGGCTCGGTGCGCCCCCCACGGAATGGCCATTCCCGCATCGTCTCGGCACTGGAAGACAGCAAGCCTTCCGACTTCACGGAGACGATACACGACCTGCTAGGTATGGGAGAACCCGACTTCTACCTCATGGGGCTGTTTCTTCGGGACGTGCGGCTGCATGTCCAGGCTGCGCTAGCTAACACGGCTAGTGTTGAGCCCCGCGCTTTAGCCGAAGAAGCTACGCGGTTCTTCCTGGCCGCCCGGCAATTTACCCCTGAGGTGCTGGCCACTATACGCAGCGGCACCTTCCCTGGTGGGGGCACGCCGTCCAGCAGAGGCTCCGGGGCCGACGACATCGAGTAACGACTAGCAGCGACAGATAACAGCTAACCACGACAGCCAACGGCTAACAGCTAACTAAAACTAGCAGCTAACAGCGGCAGCTAACGGCTAGCAACTAACAACGTGTTAACATCTGACTGTTAACGATTTTTTTTTTCAATACTTTCGCGAGATCTCGCAAAACCCCTTTGCGATATATCGCAATACTTTTCATTTTCCTGGTCAGTTCGGCTGCTACGGCAACACAGAAACCACAACAATGGAGTGGTTCATCGATTTTACTTTGAGCTTGGCCTTAAATATAAAGATATAACATCAGTGCTTGGCAATAGGCACGGGTTTCATTACATTACATTACATTACATTGCATTTAGCTGACGCTTTTATCCAAAGCGACTTACAATAAGTACATTCGACCAGGAAGACACAACCTTGAAGAAAACAGAATCATATAAGTACATCAGGTTTCATAGAGCCAAACATTTCAAGTGCTACTCAACTGGTTTTAGATAAGCCAGTCCTTTATTAGTATATAAGTGCTTTGTTAATAAATCTATCGCTCGAAGTGGAGTCGAAAGAGATGAGTTTTCAGTTTGCGCCGGAAGATGTGCAAGCTATCTGCTGTCCTGATGTCAATGGGGAGCTCATTCCACCATCTTGGAGCCAGGATAGCAAACCCATGTGTTTTTGCTGATGGGAACTTGGGTCCCCCTCGCAGCGAGGGTGCAGCGAGTTGTTTGGCTGATGCAGAGCGTAGTGGACGCGCTGGGGTGTACGGTTTAACCATGTCCTGGATGTACGAAGGGCCAGATCCATTCGCAGCATGGTAAGCAAGTACCAGTGTCTTGAAGTGGATTCTAGCAGTTACCGGAAGCCAGTGAAGGGAGCGGAGGAGCGGAGTGGTGTGGGAAAATTTAGGAAGGTTGAAGACCAGACGAGCCGCTGCATTCTGGGTGAGCTGCAGAGGTCGGATAGCACATGCAGGTAGACCAGCAAGGAGGGAGTTGCAGTAGTCTAGGCGTGAGATGACGAGAGCCTGGACCAGAACCTGCGTCGCTTTCTGTGTCAGCAGGGGACGTATCTTCCTGATGTTGTAAATTACACATAGACTGTATATATAAAGGGTTTCACATAAGTGAAGACACCTCAAGAGAACACTCAGAGCGAGGGGACATGCACGTCCCTCTGAGCTGAGTTATTGACAGATTCGAATTTCGCGGATCAATAACTCATGAACATAACGTTGTAAAAATACAAACAACATTACTTTACAATCATAGCAAGGTAGACAACGAGCTACAGAGTCGTTTTTATCAGAACAGTTCGATACGCGCCGTCATCCGAGCTAAACATCAATAATTGGTCACAATCTGCAGCTGGAGGAGGGAGAGGAGTGCTTAGGGACCGTCTACAAACTGCAACAGGGTTTTGCGAGATCTCACAAAGGTTTTGTGAGATCTCGCAAAACATTTTATTTTTTTTCAAATAATTTTTTTTTTCTTCTCCATGTCCCCTAGGGGGCTCCATACTTTTCGGCTTTGTAAATATTACTTTGATTATATGTTTAAATTCTACAATACATTACTATTTCAGTAATTTTACTCAAAATGTCTCCTTTTATTTAATGTGTTACTTGTGTTTCTATGTAATTTTTAATCTTCATTTTGATAAGTGAATTTTAACAATAGCACCAAGTAAATATTACCTAAATTATTGTATTGACTGTACAACCTGTTAAAGCTATTAAAATGTACATGGGAAATGTGAGTTAACTGTGGGTGACGTCAGAGGCGAGTATTTCCCGCGCACATTGCCCCCGCAGACACGCATGGACAGTCCACTCAGAAGGTTGACATTTGTGGAACTTGAAGACTGCTTGGTCGACCATTTCATTTGAATATTCATCGATGTGGAGTCATGCGAGTATGTTTATGTGCTTGGTTAACTTGTTACATTCCTATTAGCTTGTCAGCTGAAGTCAGTATTTGGTTATTAAAAATGTAAGGCTAAGTTAGCTAACATTAGCCGACAGAGTAGCTGGCTAACTAGCTCGTTATCGTGCTAGCAAATTTAGCCCGGTTTCATGCAAGTTGCACACATCATATATATATTTTTAAAGGCTTATTTGAAGCTTCAAAGTTGTCGACTACGACAACATTCGCCGTTTATAATCGGAAACTATGGCACTGGCGCACGTTTTAAAATTTGAATAGTTTTTTATTTCGGGAGAGGGGGGTGTTCATGGCTCCAGCTCAACAAAAGAAACAGTATGTGCGACGCTATGTGATGCGGTCAGTTTCACTGCAGCCTAGAGAAGGACAAAGTGGTCAAGGAATATTATATTTGCAATGAAATATGAACAGCGCGATTTAAAAGGTGAGTGTGTCTGTGTGTTTGCCTCGATGGATTCACTGTTGGCGCTTTTCCAGTGCAGCACTTAGCACAGTTTGGTTTGTCCCGGCCGGGCCCGGCGCCACAAGGGGGCAAAAGGGGGCATTGCCCCCTCAGTTGTATTCTTTGCCCCCTCACTTTGAGCATCATTCATCCATCGAAGAGTAAAATAAATGTCACAATTATTAAATAACTTTAAATAATTATTTCCCTCAACACACGTTACTATGTTTAGATCAGATATGTGGGCAGGCTGCATGGGCGGCGCCAGGATTTTTTTGCTGCAGTAGCTTAGCAGTTGCTATATGACAGCACGGCGTTGCTAGTTAATTTTCAAAATAAATAAACAAACAATACCAGTGGGCCAAGCACGAGCCTGTTCATATTGTAGCGTTCACCGCTATTCAAAATCACAGATCACGAGCCTTCAATGTCGAAAACGTTCTCTTTATTTTCTGGTATTGACGGCCACAGCCACGCCTTACAGAACCAATCAATAACATTCATTATGACTTTTCCCCACACTCGAACACAACTCGTCCCTCCACACACACACCGGAAAACGCACACACACCTGGAAGCGGCGGTCTCTCACTCACTCCCACAAACAACATTGCCTAAATAACTTTACAAATGTACTAAACTGTGCACATCTGATAACTGACATAACTATTAACTTGGACACGCTACAATAATATCATTAATATTTACATTAAAACATTCCTTTGACACTTATAACATTACTTTGCAAGGTAAGCACAACCAACATAAGTTGGTAAAAGCAGAATTTGAACACTGTTTCTGTGCTCCTTCAATATTTTTGTATAATAGGCGTGTGGTGCAGTGGGTTGAGTGTTGGTGTTCGGATCAAGGGGTCACAGGTTCAAACCCCACTGCAGTCAGCATGTCGTTGTGTCCCTCGGCAAAACACTTCACCCCAAATTGCT